AAATTCCTGAAAATTGCAAAAATCGCAAAAATTCCTGAAAATTGCAAAAATCGCAAAAATGACTGAAAATTGCAAAAATCGCAAAAATGACTGAAAATTGCAAAAATCGCAAAAATGACTGAAAATTGCAAAAATCGCAAAATTCCTGAAAATAGCAAAAATTCCTGAAAATTGCAAAAATCGCGAAAATTCCTGAAAATTGCAAAAATCGCAAAAATTCCTGAAAATTGCAAAAATGACTGAAAACTGCAAAAATCGCAAAAATGACTGAAAATTGCAAAAATCGCAAAAATTCCTGAAAATTGCAAAATCGCAAAAATCCTGAAAATTGCAAAAATCGCAAAAATTCCTGAAAATTGCAAAAATCGCAAAAATTCCTGAAATCAGCAAAAATTCCTGAAAATTGCAAAAATCGCAAAAATGACTGAAAATTGCAAAAATCGCAAAAATGACTGAAAATTGCAAAAATGCCTGAAAATCGCAAAAATCGCAAAAATTCCTGAAAATTGCAAAAATCGCAAAAATTCCTGAAAATTGCAAAAATCGCAAAAATGACTGAAAATTGCAAAAATAGCAAAAATGACTGAAAATTGCAAAAATCGCAAAATTCCTGAAAATAGCAAAAATTCCTGAAAATTGCAAAAATCGCAAAAATTCCTGAAAATTGCAAAAATCGCAAAAATTCCTGAAAATTGCAAAAATCGCAAAAATTCCTGAAAATAGCAAAAATTCCTGAAAATTGCAAAAATCGCGAAAATTCCTGAAAATTGCAAAAATCGCAAAAATTCCTGAAAATTGCAAAAATCGCAAAAATGACTGAAAACTGCAAAAATCGCAAAAATGACTGAAAATTGCAAAAATCGCAAAAATTCCTGAAAATTGCAAAAATCGCAAAAATTCCTGAAAATTGCAAAAATCGCAAAAATTCCTGAAAATTGCAAAAATCGCAAAAATTCCTGAAATAGCAAAAATTCCTGAAAATTGCAAAAATCGCAAAAATTCCTGAAAATAGCAAACATTCCTGAAAATTGCAAAATCGCAAAAATTCCTGAAAATTGCAAAAATCGCAAAAATTCCTGAAAATTGCCAAAATCGCAAGAATTCCTAAAAATTGCAAAAATCGCAAAAATTCCTGAAATTAGCAAAAATTCCTGAAAATTGCAAAAATCGCAAAAATTCCTGAAATCAGCAAAAATTCCTGAAAATTGCAAAAATCGCAAAAATGACTGAAAATTGCAAAAATGCCTGAAAATCGCAAAAATCGCAAAAATTCCTGAAAATTGCAAAAATCGCAAAAATTCCTGAAAATTGCAAAAATCGCAAAAATGACTGAAAATTGCAAAAATTGCAAAAATGACTGAAAATTGCAAAAATCGCAAAAATTCCTGAAAATAGCAAAAATTCCTGAAAATTGCGAAAATCGCAAAAATTCCTGAAAATTGCAAAAATCGCAAAAATTCCTGAAAATTGCAAAAATCGCAAGAATTCCTAAAAATTGCAAAAATCGCAAAAATTCCTGAAATTAGCAAAAATTCCTGAAAATTGCAAAAATCGCAAAAATGACTGAAAATTGCAAAAATCGCAAAAATGACTGAAAATTCCAAAAATCTCAAAAATTCCTGAAAATATCAAAAATCGCAAAAATGACTGAAAATTGCAAAAATCGCAAAAATGACTGAAAATTGCAAAAATCGCAAAAATCGCAAAAATGACTGAAAATTGCAAAAATCGCAAAAATTCCTGAAAATCGCAAAAATGCCTGAAAATTGCAAAAATGACTGAAAATTGCAAAAATTCCTGAAAATTGCAAAAATCGCAGAAATGACTGAAAATTGCAAAAATCGCAAAAATGACTGAAAATTGCAAAAATCGCAAAAATTCCTGAAAATAGCAAAAATCGCAAAAATGACAAAAAATTGCGAAAATCGCAAAAATTCCTGAAAATTGCAAAAATCGCAATAATTCCCTGAAAAGTGCAAAAATCGCGAAAATGACTGAAAATTGCAAAAATCGCAAAAAATGACTGAAAATTGCAAAAATCGCAAAAATGACTGAAATTGCAAAAATCGCAAAAATGACTGAAAATTGCAAAAATCGCAAAAATGACGAAAATTGCAAAAATCGCAAAAATGACTGAAAATCGCAAAAATCGCAAAAATTACTGAAAATTGCAAAAATTATTGAAAATTGCAAAAATCGCAAAAATGACTGAAAATTGCAAAAATCGCAAAAATTCCTGAAAATAGCAAAAATCGCAAAAATGACTGAAAATTGCAAAAATCGCAAAAATTCCTGAAAATAGCAAAAATTCCTGAAAACTGCAAAAATCGCAAAAATGACTGAAAATTGCAAAAATCGCAAAAATTCCTGAAAATAGCAAAAATTCCTGAAAATTGCAAAAATGCAAAAATCGCAAAAATTCCTGAAAATTGCAAAAATCGCAAAAATTCCTGAAAATTGCAAAAATCGCAAAAATTCCTGAAAATTGCAAAAATCGCAAAAATTCCTGAAAATTGCAAAAATCGCAAAAATTCCTGAAATTAGCAAAAATTCCTGAAAATTGCAAAAATCGCAAAAATGACTGAAAATTGCAAAAATCGCAAAAATTCCTGAAAATTGCAAAAATCGCAAAAATTCCTGAAAATTGCAAAAATCGCAAAAATGCCTGAAAATTGCAAAATTTGCAAAAATGACTGAAAATTGCAAAAATCGCAAAAATTCCTGAAAATTGCAAAAATCGCAAAAATTCCTGAAAATTGCAAAAATCGCAAAAATGACTGAAAATTGCAAAAATCGCAATAATGACTAAAAATTGCAAAAATCGCAAAAATGATGAAAATTGCAAAAATCGCAAAAATTCCTGAAAATTGCAAAAATTCCTGAAAATTGCAAAAATCGCAAAAATTCCTGAAAAGTGCAAAAATCGCAAAAATTCCTGAAAATTGCAAAAATCGCAAAAATGACTGAAAATTGCAAAAATCGCAAAAATGACTGAAAATTGCAAAAATCGCAAAAATGACTGAAAATTGCAAAAATCGCAAAAATTCCTGAAAATTGCAAAAATCGCAAAAATTCCTGAAAATTGCAAAAATCGCAAAAATTCCTGAAAATTGCAAAAATCGCAAAAATTCCTGAAAATTGCAAAAATCGCAAAAAATGACTGAAAATTGCAAAAATCGCAAAAATTTCTGAAAATTGCAAAAATCGCAAAAATTCCTGAAAATTGCAAAAATGCTTGAAAATTGCAAAATTTGCAAAAATGACTGAAAATTGCAAAAATCGCAAAAATTCCTGAAAATTGCAAAAATCGCAAAAATTCCTGAAAATTGCAAAAATCGCAAAAATTCCTGAAAATTGCAAAAATCGCAAAAATGACTGAAAATTGCAAAAATCGCAATAATGACTGAAAATTGCAAAAATCGCAAAATGATGAAAATTGCAAAAATCGCAAAAATTCCTGAAAATTGCAAAAATTCCTGAAAATTGCAAAAATCGCAAAAATTCCTGAAAATTGCAAAAATCGCAAAAATTCCTGAAAATTGCAAAAATCGCAAAAATGACTGAATATTGCAAAAATCGCAAAAATGACTGAAAATTGCAAAAATCGCAAAAATGACTGAAAATTGCAAAAATCGCAAAAATTCCTGAAAATTGCAAAAATCGCAAAAATTCCTGAAAATTGCAAATATCGCAAAAATTCCTGAAAATTGCAAAAATCGCAAAAATTCCTGAAAATTGCAAAAATCGCAAAAATGACTGAAAATTGCAAAAATCGCAAAAATGACTGAAAATTGCAAAAATGCTTGAAAATCGCAAAAATCGCAAAAATTCCTGAAAATTGCAAAAATCGCAAAAATGACTGAAAATTGCAAAAATAGCAAAAATGACTGAAAATTGCAAAAATCGCAAAAATTCCTGAAAATTGCAAAAATCGCAAAAATTCCTGAAAATTGCAAAAATTCCTGAAAATTGCAAAAAATCGCGAAAATTCCTGAAAATTGCAAAAATCGCAAAAATTCCTGAAAATTGCAAAAAATGACTGAAAACTGCAAAAATCGCAAAAATGACTGAAAATTGCAAAAATCGCAAAAATTCCTGAAAATTGCAAAAATCGCAAATATTCCTGAAAATTGCAAAAATCGCAAAAATTCCTGAAA